AATGGGGATCTGTGAGGCAGCAGGATTTTATGTTTTGTAATCAGATCTGCATCTTTCTAAATTATAATCAAGTAATTGGACAGGCTGTTTAATTGTTAGTTTCCTCAGAATATAAGTTATTTACAAAACCATTCAGGAAACTAAACTCTCAGAATAAGTTACTTATGTTTAATTTAGAAATGCGCAGATGTGTAGCTCGTGAAAGACCGCTGTTATAGTGAACGTTAAAGTTCATTAAGCCCGTTAAAGTAATGGCACGAATCTGGGTGGCATAATCTACTCTCCGCTATTTTTCCACATTAGTAAAAAAGTCTCCACAAAATGTCAAAGCGCTGAACAGGCTGCTTAAAGCTCTTACCTTGACAGAGGATGGTGCACAAGAAGAGGAAGAGAATCATCAGCTCATGTTCCCAGAACATCATTCCTCCTTCAGCTGCTTTCGTCAGAAGCGCTCTGTACACTTGACTGAGCTGTTGTGAATTGTGAAGCACGGTTTAGATCTCTTGCGTTTGTTTGTCTGATTGTGACTCAGCCCCGCATCCCCCTCAAAACGGTGCGAGCTGGTCTCCGGGCCTGCAGTTTCATATGTGGTGATGTGAGGATGTGAGCGGAGGTTTTTAAGAAAGTGCGCTGATCAAAAGCGACCACAGAAACCATGGATTAAGAACTCAGGGGCCCCTGGGCACATTGTCTTGTAAGGCCCCCTACCTGGCCGCACCGCTAAAGTTGAATTAAAAAAAATAAGAATAATATAATAATTTTTAAATAAAATGAATCTATAATTTGTTGCCCACATATTTAAATAAATGATATATAGTACATATGTATTTATAGTCTACAAAGATATAACTTATTTTTAAAGCATTGAATAAAAATACTAATAAAAAAACTATTTAAAAAAAAAAAATATATATATATATATATAGGCTAGAAATAAATTGAGAAAATGCATCTGCTATGGCAATAAATAGAAAAAAAAATTTAAAAACACAGCATCTGGTGGAAAAAATAAAAATTGCATTAAAATACATATATATTTTTAAGCGCAGCATTGATTGGATACCCTGTGGCAAAACAAGTCGCGCTGGAGACACGAAAATAACTTTTCTGTTAAAAATACATTTGACACATACTGCAAATGCCTGTGTGCAAATCGATGGATTCAGCTGTTCACATCAGAGCTGAGTGTTTGACCACCTAAACACACAAATATTATTATCACAAATGCTCAAATTTACATTTGCAAGCTCTAGAGTTTCACAACTGATTTGCATAAGGAAAAACCCTTTGATACCTCTAACTGCAAGTACCCATAGTCTACACACAGACTGTGATTGCATTGTTCAAATCCTCCTAAGGCTTTGATCTCTTTTAGAACTTGCAGGGTATTTTTCTTTACGTAGAGGAGCTCTGCATTTAACGACACACTGTATAGCCTACACCTTTATTTACCTTTAAAAAAAAAATATTACAATAATTTAGATTAGAATAATGCCACTTTCTGAGAACTTCCTGACACTATACATGCTGCCCAGGTGAAAAGAAAGTGTACTTAAGTTGTACTTTTTGGACTTAATTAGCATATTTTAATATAGCCTTATTATATTGAACTATACTAGGTGTAAATTAAATGTGTTATTTTGGAACAACTTCAAGCACATTAATTGTTATTTTATATACACAGTATATATTTTATATACTGAAAATGGACACACTTTAAGTACAGTTAAAGTGTACTTTTAAAAGTGTATTTATTTAAAGTACATTTAAATAATTTATTTGAAAGTATATTTTAACATAGTTAAAATACCTTTAAGTTCAGATAAAGTGTATTTTTAGCCCCACTGCAATGGATTAAATGCAATAAAGTATAGTATAAGCTCAGTTGAAGTATACTTTAAGTTCAGATGAAGTATAATTTAAACACAGCTGAAGTGCACACTGTTAGACCTTACCAGGTTTTTTTTTTTTTTACAGTAGAATACTGGCAACACTGTTGCCAGCTTCTCACTGTAAAAGTTCGGTTACAGTAAGTAACTGGCAACAGTGTTGCCAGTTATTTACTGTAACTGAACCGATACAGTGAGTAGCTGGCATCAGTGTTGCCAGTTAGTTACTGTAATAGAGCAGCAGTGGTAACTAACTGGAAACTGTGTACAGTTAATTACTGTATTGTAGTGTTACAAATCACAGCATTATACTGCATACACATTAATAGTATGTCATATATAGTTATTGTAGCGTTACTAAAATGAATCAGTATTCTTAGCTGTTATTTAAAAATAGAAGGCATAACATTTTTTCAGACAAATTTATTTTATTGTTTTGGCACCAAACAAATAAATAACAAAAAAATGTATAACAAAATTAAGAAATCAGCAGATATAAATATTGTCTTGCATATTACAGGTCTGCACAGTAAGGCTGCGGTCAAACTAACGATTGAGCATGCAAAATTCTGTCATACTGCACTGCGAAGTGGAATTAAACAAAGCGAGTAGTGGAATGAAACTAAATAATTAGAGATTGAAAAAGCAAGCCAGAGAGGTCATGTTTTGATCTTTGATTGGTCTCAAGCAATCACATGATGTGATTTCGCTTGTCAGCGTTCTCCAAGCTTGAACTTTCCAATGCTGCGAATTATGAAATTTGTCTCGTGAGCTATCTATCCAGGTCAGCAGTACTCACATGCGTATGAATGGAAGTCTATAGGGAGAAAAGTGCAGTGTGACCGGGACTTTAACCTGTAACTCTAATTAAACACACCTGATCAAACTAATTAAGGCTTGTTAGAAATCTACAGGTAATGTTGAAGCAGGGTGGGTACTAAACTGCTGCGCTGCAGTTCTACAGAAACTAGGAGTTTGACCCCCATGGTATATAGCAGGGGTGCTTAATCCTGTTCCTGGAGATCTACCTTCCTGCAGATTTCAGTTGCTACCCATATCAAACACACCTGCCTGTAATTATCAAGTGGTGTTCAGGTCCTAATTAATTGGTTTAGGTGTGTTTGATATGGATAGCAACTGAAATCTGCAGGAAGGTAGATCTCCAGGAACAGGATTGAGCACCCCTGGTATATAGCATACTTTTAAAGCAACTGCCAACATTTATCACAATCACATATCTAATTAACACACAAACACACACACAAAGTGCTGCAGTGAAATGTGTTACTCTCTCCTCAATGCTGACCATGCAAAAAAAAAAAAAAAAAAAAAAACTGAACAGCAAAAAACACAAAATAATTATTTTAAATTTTAAAGTTTTAAATAATTAAAAAATGTGTCAAATCTCAATAAAAAGTTTAAAATAATTATAAAAAAACAAAAATAAAGTTGGCAACACCGAAAAACCAAAGGATCAAATCTTTTATTGTTATAATTATCTCATGACAACAAACTTTTTTATTGTTTCAAATATAAATTCATAGATGGAAACACAGCTCTGAAAAATACTTAGCAACAAACTCACAACCTGGGACCTGACAGGGGAGCTTTTGTGTGTGGATGGCTATGTGTATCATGTTTTTGTGATTCCCTGTGATGATGTGCACAAGTTACCTTACTGAGATGATGGAATTTAATTTTGGCTTAGTTGCCAGAAAGATACACACAACTGTTAGCATCTGTACATTATGGCAGTGTGCAATATAAAATAAATACATATACTTAAACAAAAGTAATGTAAGAAGTTATATGAGGAGAGTCTAACTAGCTAACAATGTAGCTTTCAAGTACACAGTTCAAGATAACAACAATATAACTTAAAACACAGCCTTATTTCAGAAACCCTCAAAAACATTTGAACAAATTTTACTTACTCATTTAAGATTCTTATTTAAGCCTAAAACATATCAGACTCAACATCTGAACTGATGGACAGAGAATAGAGCACACTCAGCAGTAAACAAATCAAACACCTGGCTCCCTTAAAGGGCCAGCATTTTCTGAAAACTCTTTCTAACACCTTTGTGTTTAGAAAAAGACGGACAGCCTGTGGGAGTGTGTGGTGATGCCTAAATCATTATTTGTTTACAGTTATTTACTGCACAATCTACAGAGTAACAGTGCAGTTATACTAATTAAACACACCTGATCAAACTAAATCTAAAGATAGTGTGTTGAAGCAGGGCTGGAACTAAATTCTATAGGCTGTGGCCTTCCAGGAGTTTGACACCCCTGGTACATAGCATATTTTCAAAGCAACTGCCTACATTTATCACAGTTATGCACATATCGTTTAATAAAAACAATAAAAATATACAATAATACAAACTTCATCCATAGAAAAAAATGAATAAATAAATAATCTGATTCTCATGTCGTTCCAAATCTGTAGTAAAAAATAATAAAAAACACAACAAAGATCATGATTTATACATTTATTTAGGAAAGCCTTTATACTGTTAATGGCACTTTTACTTGCCAGTTTTCCAGACAAATTCATTGAGTCTCCGCAAAAATGTATGTGCGTGTTGTTTGAGATATATATATATATTTTTTAATAACACATTTTTACTAGTTATTTAGCAAAATACTAATATTCAGTTGAAAGTGCAATTTAAAATCTTAACTATAGGTCAAACTAGGCAATTAAATTAGATTAATTATAGAAGTTATAAAAATTATTGTGACAATTTCTTTGCTCTGTGTGAATATTTTTGCCTTTAAATGCATTTCGTCCATATCTTACACTTACCTTTTAATAAGCTCTGTGGCATTGGTTGACTCCTGATACTCAATGTTAAAAACATAAAAGGAACCAAAGAAAACACAGAGATAAAATAAATATAAAATAGCAACATAAAGCATCAGAGTAGATGGGGCAGTAATGGTTGAGCAGTAATTTACCATTTATTATCACAGTAAATATCTGTAATGGTACATAGAGTAAATTACTGTAATTTATTCTTTGGACTACAGAATTTCATACAAATCCTGCTCCTTTTACAGTAAAATACTGTTTCCTTTCATTACAGCTAAACACTGGCTATTTTACAGTTATTTACTGCATAATCTACAGTAAGGGTTAACAGTGTGTATATATATCAGAAAAATATATAGTTTAACACTCTGAGAAGAGCTGTTTCAGTGCTGTGTGTGAATTTAAAACTAGATTATGCTCTCATGTTGATCTGTGCTTAAGATTGTTCTTCATTAATCCAGATTCTCCTACTCGTCTGGTGATCCTCCTGTTCCTCCATTCTGATAACGGTAAGCAGCCTCTGTAATTCAACAATAAGAGCATTAGAACAAATACAAGTAAAATGTTTCCCAGACAAAGCCAGAAGAACATTTTGTTTCCAGCCCAACAATCGTCCATAACCCACCCAAACAAACAAAAAAGAAAAAAAAGAAAAAGAAAAACACCCATGCTTAGCAATTATTTTTAATTTCATTTACAACCCCAAATCAGAAAGTTAGGACAAGAGTTAAGAGTTAGGACAGTGTGGAAAACAAAAAATAAAAAAGAAAGTAGTGATATTTGAATTTAATTAGACTTGTATTTCATTGCAGACAATATAACAAACATCATATAATGTGTTCATATATATATATATATATAATTTTATTATTATTTTTTTTCAAAATAAACACAACAGTTTTGTTTCTTGTAACACATTTCAAAAAAGTTAAAGCAGTAAACCTTTTTCTACTTTGTAATGTTGCCATTCCTTTCCACAACACTTAAAAGATGTTTAGGGACTGAAGACACTAAGTGATGAAGTGTTTCAGCTGTAATTTTGTCCCATTCTTCCTGCAAACAAGTCTTAAGGTGGGCAACAGTATGATGTCTTGCGATTCAAAATGCGCCACGCATTCTCTATTGGAGACATGTCAGGACTGTAGGCAGGCCAGTCAAGTACCTGTGTTCTCTTCCTCCACAGCAGGAGTTTGTAATGTGTGCAGAATGTGGTTTTGCATTGTCTTGTTGAAATATGCTTGGGCGTCTCTGGAAAAGAAAGCAGCATCTTGTGCTCCAAAATCTCTCTGTACTTTTCAGCATTAATGGAGCATCACATAAGTGCAAGTTACCTTTGGCAAGGGCATTGAGACAAGCCCATATCATAACAGAGCCTGGATTCTGGACTTGTTGCTGGAAACTGTCTGGATTATCCTTTTCTTTTTTGGTCCAGAGCACAAATTGTCCATTTCTCCCAAAAAATACCTGAAATACTGATTCATCTGACCACAGTACACGTTTCCACTGTGTGATGGTGCATCCCAGATGCCTCCAAGCCCAGAGAAGTCAATGGTGTTTCTAGACACTGTTAACATAGGGCTTCCTCTTGGCACAGCACAGTTTTAACTGGCATTTGTGGATGTAACTATGTATTGTAGTACTTGACAAAGGTTTGTTGCAGTAGTCCTGAGTCCATGTGGTGATCTGGTATATGGATGAATGAGGATTCTTGATGCAGTGCTGCCTGAGGGATCAGAGATCACGGTTGTTCAGCTTAGTCTTGCACCCTTGTCCTTAAATTCCTCCAGATTCCATGAATCTTTTAATGATGTTCTGCACTGTTGAAGGTGAAATCTCTTTTTTTGAGGAACATTTCGATCATTTTCTCACGTATTTGTTGGCAAACTGGCGATCCTCTGCTCGTCTTTGCTCCTAAAGGACTGACCTTTCTTGGATGCTGCTTTTGTACCAAATCATAATTACAATCACCTGTTGACATCACCTGTTTCACATCCTTATTTAACCAGTTTACCTGATTACTCTCCCTAAACTGCTCCTGTCCCAACTTTTTTGGAGTGTATTGCAAGAACCAAAATTGGAATCTGTGTTTATTTGGAAAACAACAACAAACAATAAAAGGAGCACATTAAATAATGTTTGTTGTATTGTCTTCAATGAAACACAGGTCTAAGTAAATTTAAAAAACACTACTTTTTTATTATTTACGTTTTCCATACTGTCCCAAATTGTTCTGATTTAGGGTTTTAATGGTAAGCAATCATGGGACTTTTTAAATTAAAAGCATTTTGTAAAGGTGGATTCATATGTAAAGAATTGTGTCTACATAAAAGTACATTTTAGTTTACAAGTCCTTTACATTAAGAATAATAATTTATATAATAATAGAAACCTTTGTTACTTTGACTGTGTTATTGTTTTGTTTCAGCAAGTTAGAGATAGGGTAATGTGTGCAGTTTTTAAAGACATCTTGTGCATGTGTATATCAGCTGTACGTAACACTTGCCGTTTTTTCCAGTTTTGTTCCAGTTACTTTTCCAGCAGCGGCAGTAAATCACAACTCCTGCAATCAGCAGCAGCAGACAGATCAGTCCTATATAACCTGGGTTTAGACCTGTTACTGCAGTGGACAAAGAGAAACAGTCATTAGGGAAAACAGTACACTTTTATTTTATGACAATATGAAATCTGTCTGATCAATATTAGGTGCTATATTCATGTTTACACATAATTATATGGTACATGTTATAATAACTTTCCTAAAACCAACCATATTTTAAATATTTAATAACTTTTTCCCATTTCTTCCATGATTCAGGTATGTTCAATTCTGGTAAAATCAAATACTAGTGTTGCTCCAAATCCATATTTAGATTATTATAGGCTTATTATGCAAATAAGGTGGATAGAAATAACTGGTGTAACATTCTGTCCTCTTTCCGTCCAATTGATGAAAATTTACTCAACCAAGCTTTTGTTTTCTACACTTGGTAAATTTTCCTTGACTGTAAGACTGAAGCTAAATCTTTTGTAACACAATGATGTCTCTTAAGAAACTTAAGATTCAACTACTTGGATTTATATGAATCTTTTTGATGGGAATAACTTCCAAAAAGGAAATTGAAAAAGGAAATTGAACTCATATTCTGGCTCTGAAATGAGATGGAAATACAGTTGAAGTCAGAATTATTTGCCCCCTTCAAATTTCTTTCTTTAAATATTTCCCAAATTATGTTTAACAGAGCAAGGAAATGTTCACAGTATGTCTGAAAATATTTTTTCTTCTGGGGAAAGTCTTATTTGTTTTATTTCGGCTAGAATAAAAGCAGTTTTTAATTTTTTAAACACCATTTTAGGGACAAAATTTTTAGCCCCTTTAAGCAGTTTTTTTTTCTCGATAATCTACAGAACAAACCATCGTTATACAATAACTTGCCTAATTAGCTTAACCTGCATAGTTAACCTAATTAACCTAGTTAAGCCTTTAAATGGCACTATAAGCTGTATAGAAGTGTCTTGAAAAATATCTAGTCAAATATTATTTACTGTCATCATGACAAAGATAAAATAAATCAGTTATAAGAGATGAGTTATTAAAACTATTATGATTAGAAATGTGTGGAACAAATCTTCTCTCTGTTAAACAGAAATTAGGGGGGAAATAAACAAGCCGTCTAGTAATTCAGGGGGGCTAATCATTCTGACTTCAACTGTACCTCCATAATAACCATAAGGAGAGACGCGCTCATATGATTGTAAATCGCTGCGCTTGTAAAGCAATGCAGAGTAAGGTGCTGTAGAAATACATTCATTCATTTATACCTGCACATGACTGACACAGTTCAGATCTGCCGAGGTGTTTGGTCTGGTTGCTGATTGAGTTGTTCACCACACATCTGTATTCATTAATGTCCTCATAATTCCCCTTTACAGGCAGAGAGATGCTGTTGTTGGGATCAGAGACATTAATGGAGGACAGAAAGTGGTTTCCTTTGTACCAGGAGAGAGTCGTCTCATTTGTCACATTCGCTGAACACAGCAGGACACACTGAGAGCATGAGGAGTTCTCTGACTTGTGGACTATGGGAACGGGAAGAGGATCTGGAAAAGACAGAAAAAATGTTCAATAAAGGGGCAGGGCCGAGAGTGCT